GCCAGTGGGAGCAGAGCTGAAGAGAAGGAGACGACGAATGGGGGCCTGTGATTCCTAGTTACGCCCCTGATAAGAATAATAGACTCTGAAAGGCCCCCGTTCTTCAGATCCTAGGCTTTAACAGCCAGGCTGCTAAAGCCAGCAACTGAGAAGCAGGATAGTAGAAAGGATCTGGATGATCTGGGAAAGCCCATGAAGAGTCTGCCAGGAGTCTTATGAGATTCAAGTACCAGCTCCTCCTGGGCCAGTTCAGCGTAATGAGAATCACCACAATGCCTTCTACCGTGGTCCTGCTGAGCAGGTGAGGGGGAGTTTTTAGAAGAGGGAAGGCATAGATCAGGCTGAACTGATCCCACGATGCCAGCTGGACATCTACTGCAAAGGCTAGAGAATCCATGGATCTAGAGACTACCCTGACCAGATTGTTTTTGAACCTGGAAGCCAAGAGGTCTGCCTGTGAAAAAAAAATGGTAAAATACCTAGGGGTGAAGCGACAACTCTTCATAGACCAGATGTTGTTGACTAGCTGCTAATTCTCCACCAGTGAAATGTGCACAGGACCAGAACGTGGAGTTTCACTAAGGTCAAAATCAAGTCTGCTTCTCTTTGAGCTGTGAGACTTCTGGTTCCTCCTTGATGGTTAATATAAGTCACAGCTATGTACATTGTACAACTAAATTCTACTTGTACGGCCCCATAGCTGAAAAGTCCAGTGTACAAGGCACAACTAAACCACGCTGAACACCAGAACCTTGAAGAGCGGTTTTCTCTGGAGTGCAGGTTCCAGGTACTAAGAGGGTATAAAAGAGGTGCTTGCCATTAAAGGGCATACACAAGAGCCACTTCTTATACAAGCAAAAGTAGGGAATGGAGGGTTTCTAGAGAGGTATAAAGGCAATGACCATATATATATATATATATATATATATATATACATATATATATATATATGTATATATATATAATCATTGCTGCCATGTCCAGCTGTCAAACCTAGTCCACGGCCATTTCATGGGATGTTGGTTTCGTCCTAATAGACCCTGAAGGTAAATGTAGCTCTTTCCCACAGCCCTTCTCCCTGCCCAAAACTCTCCCCCTCAATTAAGTCAAGCAAGCAAAAGTAGGGAATGGAGGGTTTCTAGAGAGGTATAAAGGCAATGACCATATATATATAAAACACATATCAAAAGTTTATTGTACATAAAATTAATAGTTAAAAATGAATCCAATACATGGAAACTGTATTTCTATCCATGAGTTGTTTGGGTTTGCATATGCCAAGTGAACACATTTTCAATCCATGCATGTAGGTTTATGCAGTCAGGATAGTGGAGCTATCCTTCATATAATGTCCAAGTGATTGTCTAGCTTAATTCATCCCGACGCGTTTCGCCAATGGCTTCTTCAGGCTTCTTTCTTCTTGAAACGTGGAGTACATGTCAGATCTCTCCCTGGGTCACTAACGAGATCAATATATACACTGATCCCCTGAAGAAGCCATTGGTGAAACGCATCGGTATGAATTAAGCTAGACAATCACTTGGACATTATATGAAGGATAGCTCCACTATCCTGACTGCATAAACCTACATGTATTGATTGAAAATGTGTTCACTGGGCATATGCAAACCCAAACAACTCTTGGATAGCAATACAGTTTCCATGTATTGGATTCATTTTTAACTATTAATTTTATGTACAATAAACTTTTGATATGTGTTTTATATATATATGGTCATTGCCTTTATACCTCTCTAGAAACCCTCCATTCCCTACTTTTGCTTGCTTGACTTAATTGAGGGGGAGAGTTTTGGGCAGGGAGAAGGGCTGTGGGAAAGAGCTACATTTACCTTCAGGGTCTATTAGGACGAAACCAACATCCCATGAAATGGCCGTGGACTAGGTTTGACAGCTGGACATGGCAGCAATGACAGATTGTAGGTCCAGACCTGCAAGGGCGAATAAGGCATTTAGAGGACTTTAAAGCTTTCCGCCCACTTGCTCCCTAAAGACCAGGATGACCTTCACAGGGATAGTTTTGTTATGGCAGGAAATGGCCAATATCATAGAAGTAGACCATTTTATGATCGCTCCATGGGAAATTGCTTGGCAAAACATAGAAAAATAGTTTTTCAGGGTTAGGCTAGTCTCTATACAAAACACGCTGTAATGTGCCAGAAAGGTTTTTGCAGGCCAGGTAGTCTTAAGAGAACTCAGGCTAGTTGACTCAGGCTGTTTTAAGTCAAGACATGTATGCATGGCATCAAAAAGGTTATACTGTGCTGTACTTTTTCAGTTTTGTATTGAAAGTGTTCAATCTCCTGAAAGCATCAGCTTAACGCCTTTGTCTCTGAATACTGTCCTGTGTCCTGCTATGTACCTTTAAAGTGACACTAAACTCAGGAGGTAAACCTTAAAAATACATTCTAGTGCCTTAACTATTAACAAAAAATAAGCTTATTTGTGTATCACTCGGTTGTAAACACATGAACTATCAGGGCATTCGGCGGGCTATTCACCGCACAGTGCCTTGTGAAGCCCTGATTGTGTAAAGCACAGCACAGTGGGAGCCCTGATTGGGAAAAGTAATCATGACTTTGCCCAATCATAGCTCACACAGTTAAGTCCTGTCAGGTAATGGACAAATGTACACAGTTGGGCGGAGATAGCTAGCTGTCACCGCTGGCTCCACCCAAATATTTATATTTTGCCGACATCTGTCAGAATGCCATTCTGCAGCAAGAGTTCGTCACACGTTTTTTTCATTATTATTTCTATTTATTTTTTCTTGTTTTATTATTTTATTTTGTCGAGTCCTCGTAGTTGTGGACAACACTGGACATCCTGATTGACCCTAGGATTACGTCAGTGGATCCATTTTTGTGTTGTTTTTTTAACAATTAAGGACTTGTCAAAAGCCTTTGTTGGGTTTTTATTTCAACTAAAGGATTTTTTTAAATAAAAGTATGGACTTATTATTTAAATTTATTTTAACACTTTAGTGAATGGGTAGGGGTACAAGTACCCCTTACTCATTCACAAGGGGGCGGCTGCATCAGGGGTACCCTGATGTGAACAAGCCCCCCTGCCTGCACCCCCACAACCAAAGCCCCAGGGCTTGTAGGAAAGAGGCACTTGTCCGCATCGGCAAGAGGACAAGGTGCTTTCCCAGGGGTGACCATGGAAAAGCACCCTCCCAGTGCCGAGGACATGTGGCCTGATATGGCGGGGAGGGGCGGGGCGCTCACTTGCCTCCCTTCTGCCTGCCAGGCCTGTACTCAGATCAAGGGTCTGGTTGGGAATTCTAGGGGGGTCCCCATGTCTTTTCCCCCCATTTTTTGGGGTGGGGTTCCTCAAAATTCCTACCAGACCTTAAGGGCCTGGTATTACTTTGGGGGGAACCCCACACACTTTTTTCTTTTTTTAAATTGTAACTTGGGGTCCCCACTAAAATTCCTAAGACCTAAAGGGTTTGGGGGGGAACCCCATGCTTTTTCTTTCTTTTTTTTTAAATAGGGTCCTTCCTAACTTTTCTACCAGACCTAAAGTGTTGTTTTCACTGATACATGTTCCCCGGGTAGTACCCGAATCCCCATACCCTTTTTATGACCAATAACTTGCATATAAGCCTTCAAAAAGGGGACATTTGATTTTCAGAGTTCTGGTCCCATATACTTTCATTCAGTTTGAAGTTTGAGTTCGAACTTTTTCCATGTTCGAAAGTTCGAATTCAAACCGAACTCAGGTGTATTTGGCCCATCACTAGTATAGATCCTCAAATCATCTCTGAATTTGTGCAGACACTGTCCTCCCTTCTGGAGGTTGGCTATTTTTGTTCCCCATGGTCCCTGTGTGTGTATGTGTGTGTAGCCACTGCTCCAAGCTCACTCCCATGATGGACTACAATCTCATGTTTAGTTTACTAATTTTTATTGATATTGTAGTCCATCACAGAAGTGAGCTTGGAGCGGTGGCCACTTTACAACACACACAGGGACCATGGGGAACAAAAGTATCGAGAAGGAAAACAAGTGTCAGCACAAATTCAAAGATGGTTTGAGGATTTACAGCCGAGTGATACACAAGTAAGGTATATTTTTAAAATTAGTTATGGTACCTAAATGCATTTTTAAGTTTTAACTCCTGAGTTTAGTGTCTCATTAAGAAAAGAAATTAGCATTTATTACAATGAGCTCCAACAATTGGTCCAATCAGGATGAAGACTGTAATTGACCCTAGCAGAGTGGAAGCTAAGGACAGGCAGATGTTTATGTCCAACTTTAAATGTATAACCAAATTTCTTACAACAACCAGCAACCCAACTTTTGCTTTAAATAGCTGCATTTGTAGATGTATGGAATGTTTCCAGAAGAACTAAATACAAAAAAATAACTTAAAACTCTTTAGCCCTTATGCTGTATTAAAGCTGAACTACAGGCAAAAAACTTAGAACATGTCAATTGTTTTACCTACTAAATGATCTGTAATTGTGTTCAACCAGTGATACAAATACCCCTGCCAGACCCCTGGGTTTCTCTTTTCTCTACTGTAGTAAAGCAATATGTCCTTGTGTAGGACAGATCCAGGAAGATCCAGTCCAGGAAGACCCAATCCATACCTTCGCTGTACCATTCTGTAAGCATGTTTATAGTGGTAGATTAACAGCTCCGTGCAAAGCTGGCTGTTAGCTGTGGCTTTCCCTCTTTCAGTCTGAGTCCAAAGTCCAGGTTCACTGCTGATGTGACCTGTGGTGAGCTGTGCAAACAGGAAGCTAAAGACATATTCAGGTTCTTATATTAGTTGTAGTTTAATCTACAAATAATTCTTCTTCAATCAATATATAGCTGAGCTAAATTGTGTTCTACTGCCTGGAGCTCAGCTTTAATTAGGTATTAAGACACATAATTTTTTTGTGGAAATATTCCAAATGAGAAGAGTATATCTTTGTCTAAAAACATTTGCAGATTCTAGTCAAGGCCAATCATCTCATTTGTTAAACAGGCAAACTTGTAGTTTGGCACATGTGAATGTTAAGTAACATGCATTATTACTCAACACAGAAAATAACACAACATGAACACTGAACACACATGACTGTTGTAATTGTTTCATTGGGATATTTGTGGCATTTTACTTCATTGTCAATAAAATCATATAACAAAATACAATTATGGTTTCCGAATGATGATGCTTTTGGCCCTTTGAGTGAAAATATCATAGTAGTCCCAGTGGTTGCTTAAACCTCTTTTCACCTGTAAGGTTGAAGCATTTCACATCAGTGCACCCACATAACCGCCAACATTCAGCAGGGGCAAGAAATCAACATAATATATAATTTAACACATCAGTGTGCCCAGTGTATGCTTTGCCTCTCCTTGAACTTTTCTTTGCTTTAAAAAAATATTTTGTTTAGAAAACACTATGATATGTGGGCGATAGACTATTTGGTTTCTTCTATGTAGATGCTCTTAAATTAATGCATATAAATAATTTGTATCCTGTCATCTCTTTCAGTTTTCCTTTTATTCTTTTAGGCTAAGCATTAGACAGAGAGGTCCATTTCCAAAATCACACATGAAGTGTTGAGTCCCTGTGCATTTCATTTCTTAAGACAAACTGTGCCTCCTGTTCAGTTTTTGCTTTTGGGCTCAGGGGGAGGAATGCTGTGTTTTCACTGGCACTTTCCTCGGTTTCTATGTTGGCCATTTCCAAGTCCTCTGATCTTCTTCTGGCATCGGTCAGAATTCGTATTTGCTCTTGTACAGTTTCAAGCAAAATTTTTACCTCCTTTTGTTCTGCTATAAGACAGTTGCTAGGTACAATGTTCACCTTCACAAGTTCAGTGGAATAGGAGTTTTTGCACAGTTTGATGCCCGGCACTTCAGTAGCATTCTGCATTTGTATGCAGGCATCATCTAGTCCCACCGAAGGTATGATCGGAATGGAACTGGCTCTAGACGTCGAAAAGCTGACGTAGTCCTTTTGTGTCAATTTATTAAAATAAGACTGTGTATCTTTTGAATGCAGTTGCATATTTCTAGAATGATCCTGGGGTTCGTTTAAATCAGCTGAGGAACACCTGAGAGGAAGAAGAAAAACACAAGTTGTTACAATCCTTATGAAATGCAGTATTGGCTATTTCAAAAGTATTTTTGAAATATTCTACATCACTAACAGAAAAAAAAAAATTTTTTTAAATCATTCAAGGACTTTGTATGTCTCCTGCCACTAGATGATTGGCTACAGATTAGTTAACCTCACTGGTTCCTTCAAGACCCAGAGAATGATTGTATGCTTAAAAATTGGGTACATAATCCATTTTTAAACATACACTCAACTAATGTTCTCTATTATAATGGAAAACTATCTGTTACCAGATCATAACAAGCATGAATTCACCCACCTGCAAATTGGGCATGAAGTTTTAGCTTATAATGCTCTTAATTTCTGCTGGTGATACATATTCAAAGTGTAGTATTTAGCCACATACCTGTTCTAAAGATGGTATGACCATAAAGGGATCAGACAGAAGCAAACTTTGGCATGCAGCACTAGGGATACATTTGACTGTAAAGGTGCCCATACACCTTACGATTATCGGACAAAACTTTTCGTCCGATGATCGAACCGTCGTACGATTTTCGTACGGCGTCCCCATCCTGCCCTGATTATCTCAAGGTTCAATCAGCGGTAGTTAAAAAAAATCACCTGGATGAATTTCGGTAATCAACCGCACTTATTTTCATTTGCGCATGAGCAGTGTTAATCGTACGACTTTTGACGGACGGAAACGCCACCAACCATGCGAACATCGTACGATCGACCAACGTTTTCAAACATGCTTGAATGTCAAAAGTCGTACGATTGTACAGTACTGTCGGTACATTCACTACATTCACATGTTACGATTGTCGTACGAAAAGTGGATCGCATACGATTATCGTACGATTATCGTAAGGTGTATGGGCACCTTAAGAAGCTTATGGAATATATTTATTGGCTATCCATTGTGCTGATGCACTCTGTTTATTTCTTCTCATCAGCAAGAAACCTATTGAATCGGTATTGAGGCAATGATAAACAGCCATTCAGAAAGGAATATAGTAAAAACAAATATAAATCTTCAGTTTTACCTTTTAACTTAAACATAAAATACATTTGGATAACTACTGAAGTTTCACTTTAATGCGGAACTCTTAGCAGATAGCTAAATACACAGTTAAAAATGCTAGTTGCAATTTTTTATGTTGCATGGTATTTGCGCAAATGTTTATCAAACAAGTATTTTTAGGATAAAATACACTAAAATTAAATTTAGTGCACAGAAACAGAATATAATACCCATTTTTTTGGTAAAATATAAACGATGGGGTCACACCGGGTAAATAGATACCAAACGTATCAAGCCTTAAAATTATGTGCGTCCGTGAAACTGCAAAAAACTACAATAACCAAAATTTCCCATAGACAATGCTTTAAACACGTTTACTGCTCATCAGTTTAGTGCTATCAGTGATTGATGGGCCTAGAATGATTGCTCTCACTCCAACACTCGCGACTATATGCAACATGTGTGGCAGAATTTTTATTTTTGCATGTAGGCGCATCCGACACGTGTTTGCGTTGTATGTGCATGTATGTTTGGGGGGGGAGGACTTTAAAATGTATTTTTTTTGCATATTTAATCTGTTTTTTTTAATCTGTTTTTTTTTATTTAAAAAAAAACTCCCCAAAAATTAAATGCAATATGGCAACCTGGAGGTGTATGGAATTCCCCCAGAAATGTCATGTTCTGCTTCTGTGATTGGCTGACTGATTTTCTCAGGAATTTGCACTAAGAAAAATGTCAACTTTTAGGCAATCCCTTCATTTTTGGAGAGATACTCATTAAGGGTTAACTACTTCCAAAAGAATGCAGACACTTCAGCTTCCCTCATTAGAACATTAAGGGATTCATTTATAAAAGTTCCAGCTGGTTTATAGCTGAACACATACCATTTGCACAGCACTAATGCCACTAGATGGTGTTGATGAGTATAGGAAATGCTTATACTCGTCAGCGCCATCTAGGAGTGCTAATGGTGTGTGAACTGCATCTGCCTGGCTATACTCCAGGTGAAACTGTTGTAACCAGGTGGTTATAATGAATGCATACCCTACCATTCAGGAATCATTCTAGAAATTACATGATAAAAAAACAGCTATTTCTTCAGAACAGAAAAAGGTAGGAATCTGTTCTTGTTTAATAAAGTCCTTGCAATGTACATACATTACCAAGAAGGGATTGTCTTTTTCTCAACAAAAGTGGAGGTATACTTTAAAGCTTACCAACATAAATCTGGGAGACAATCTTCCTGCATTCCTCCTTCATCTCACTCCTCTGTCTCACAAAAAAAAATATAGTACAAGAAAACTATTTTATTTCTTTGCATTAATGCAGCCAGAGCCTGCATTCTTCTGTTCTGAAAATATGCAGATCTGCCCCCCATATGGTTGTGGTTTACCAGGAAGGTGGTTTACTGAGGAATCTAATTTCCTCAGTAAAACACACAAATATTTTTTTTGTTTTTTTTGCAAAATCTGATTTTACTGGATCAAACTCACATTCTTCCCCCATATAAATCCCTCATGGACCCCCACTGATGCAGTGAAAATCCTGTGGAGTTCTGGCTAGGAAATCACAGCAGTAGCCCATCCCCAATTACCTCCATAACCCCCCTCCCCCCTCCTTCCACCCCACACATGCCTTTTTTCTCTTCCTTACTTTCTTCCTGCCTACAACTACTATGCTCTAGTCCCTCCTCTCTTCCTAGGTTCACAAATAAGTAGGGACTTTTTCCCTACATGTTTCCTTCTACTACATGTACTCTTTGAGTTCTTGGAAAGCAAATTCAAACCCCTACTCCCCATAAATGCTGTGAACCACCAGTCACCACCACAGGTCTACTCCAATGTTAATTGAGATCCGTTATATATTGAACCACATTTGTATTGTTGTATGACTCGTACAACTATTGTGTCTTTGTATGTACACTCTCAAATGTCTGGCGGTAACAATATTTATGATTAGAAATTGTATTGCTAGCTCTCCTGCTATAATTTCATAAAATGTAACCAACACATATATAAAAAAACTGTCTAAAGATATGTATTATTCTGTTTAGCTTGTCTTGTAATGCACACTGCCTTGGCAGGTCGCATAGACAGGTCCCACCATTGCAGTTTAGTAGCACAGATTGGTCCAAAAACATTGCATACTTCTAAGAAGTTTGAATAATTATGGAGTGGTAGCACATGACTGGGTTATCCCTGTGTTCTCCCCTCCTGACAGCAACATATACTGCAGCGGAAATGAATTGACTGCTTGTGCTGAGTTTTCTGTGTTATTACAGGAAGCAGACTTAAAAACTAATTTAGGCATTTATACCAAGCGCATCTAAAATACAATACAATTTTTTTTATTGAATACATAATTGCATTAATTAGTATTCTCTGTATTTGACTGGAGTTCAGCTTCAAATGCATCTTTATCTGTTTTTAAGAGGTAAGACTTCTCAGCAGGTATCAAGATCCAAAGAATTATTAGATTTGCACAATGCTCCTCTTAAACAGCTGCCCCAGACTGAACAGCACTGAAGCTAGCTTAACAACTATGCGTTGTGGTAATGTGAGTGCTTTAACACTCATTACTACATTACATGCTAACGCAAGTATTGAGGTGCAGTGTGTTGCAGTTTCATTGATTTTCAATGGGTACCCAATGCACTAAACTAATGCATATTCAAAGAACTTGTGTTGCAGCCCATCACAATGCATGGCAACACTTTGCCACACTTTGTAGTGTGCTGGAAAAAAAAATAGAGCAAATCTAAGGGCCCGTTCACACCAATTGCAATGCGTTCCGGCGCGATTCTGGGCAGAACGCACTGCCTCGCATTGCGACAGGCTAAGTTTTGAGTAGGGCAGGAGGGGGTGTGGCGGACCATTGAAGTGAATGGCAACATAGCCAAGCCCTCCGGCCGCAATGCAATCGCCCGCATGGGATAGCAAGGCGCATTGTGCCTGCGGACCGGTGCGATCATAATGCTGCGCACTATTTTGATCGGACCGGACTGCAGGCACAATGTGCCTTGCGATCCCGTGCGGGTGATCACATTGCGGCTGGAGGGCGTGACTACGGTGCCATCCCGTGCGGGCCGGAACGCACTGCAACTGGTGTAAATGGGCCCTTAAAGCAGATGCATTATGGTGCATTGCCAGCACATTCAGCTGAGTGATCCACCTTAGCACAATGCACGTTAACAAGTGCCATAACGTGCGGTAATGAACCATATTGAACTACACAGTAAGGAAAAGGGCACTGATAGATTTCACACTTTTACCAGTGGCACACTGTCCAGAGATAGACAGGGTTATTCACAAAAGGGTGAAGAGTTTGGAGAAGGCAGGAGAAGTGAACAAGCTTAGACAAACTAGCCAAACTGGAAAGTGAGTTGAATTGGAGAATTTTTCCAAATCAGCTATTTTGGCCTATATTGTTCACCACTCCTGCCTTCTCCAAACTCTTCACCCTTTTGTAAATAACCCTGTGAGTATATTGGGGATGATTTGCTAAATGCAAGTAGGCTTTTCACTTTGCAAGGGAATTTTACCTTTAACTTAGTGAATGAGATGAAACTCTGCTGACTTCCATCATCCAATCATGTGAAAGCAAAAATTTTGTTTTTTTTTTCTTTTCCTTGCATGTTATTGGATATTGGATATTGGATATTCTTTGTAAACTCAATTTTCATCACATTCGCTAAGCTAAGGACAAATTCCCTTGCAAACTAAACATCCTATTTGCCTTTAGTAAATTAACCCTTTTGAGTAGACAAATAAATAATACAATACACTGTTCTTTTAATGTGTCTTATAGGTCAGCATTACAAATTCACAATTGCTTTAAAAAACATGGTTGCGGGCATGCCTTAGATGTGCATGTGAACAGTGGCGTAACCAGAGTTACGGGCGCCCGGGGCAGAACACATTTTTGCACCCGCCACAACCATTATATAAAGACCCAATCCAACCAATGAT